TTGAGAATATTCTTATTATTTAATACAACTTATCAAGAATAAAATAATATTATATTATTATTATATGTAAAAACTCAAATACATCATGATAACCCTCAAAACTGGATGGGAAATGCTAGTCGACGCTTAAGGGCGAGTGTTAAAGGAAATAGCCATTGTGACATTGGACCTATGATTTGATCTCATATTCACTCCCTACTGATATTGTTAATAGGCTAAGGGCCATTCCTTTTAATATCACTGCTGCTGGGACTGATTCTTTTATTTGGGGGTACTCTAGCAATGGTCTTTTTAAATCTAAAACTGCATATTATCTTGCTAAGAACCTCCCTTTTGACAGCAAGTGCTCTTGGTCCTGGATTTGGGATATGGATACCATTCCTAGAATTCAGATGTTTATATGGCTTTTAAAGCATGGCAAATTGCTTACTTATGACACTCTTTTCAATTGGGGCATTATGGAGTCTAATAATTGTCCCAGATGTCACCAGGCTCCTGAAACTCTCAATCATATCTTTAGAGAGTGTTATTTTGCTAAATTGTTGTGGTCTCTTCTTACTCCTCATCCTATTAACAATCTTTTTCATGATCTTGATTTTGATGGCTGGCTCTTTGCTCATTCTAATCAATCAAAAGTTTTTGATTGTGGGGGATGGAGTACTTCCTTCTCGTACATCATTTGGTCGCTTTGGTATTTTCAAATCTTTTGGTTCATGAAAAGAAGAATGTCTCGTTGGTTATGGCAAGGGATTTCATCTTGTTAAAAATCAATGAGTATAAGCAGCTTCATCCGGTTTCGTTAAGTGCTAAAACGGTTTCTACTGTCTTTGTTGGTTGGAACCCTCCCCCTCCTGGTGTTGTGAAGTTGAACACTGATGGTTCAGCTGTGACAAACCCAGGAAATGCTGGTGCTGGAGGAATTTTCAGAGATGATCTTGGTAACTGGCTGTTGGGATTCTACAGGAATATTGGATATACATCCAGCCTTTCGGCTGAGCTATGGGCATTAAGAGACGGCCTTAAACTAGCCGTGGACAAGGGATTTTCCCAACTCATTGTTGAAACTGATTCTATGGTTGCAAAAACACTAATTGATTCTGCCCATTCTGATTCTCACTCACTGGGGGTTTTAATTGATGATTGCAGGGCTATGATGTCCCAAGTCCCCAGCATCCAGTTTAGACATGTGTTCAGAGAAGCCAACAATGTTGCTGACTAGTTGGCTAAGAAGGGTACAAAGTCGGACTCTCCGTTTGTTGTGCTGAATCAATGTCCCTCCGGTCTTTGTAATCTTTTGTATTCGGATATTATTGGGATTATGACTCCTAGGACTTCTGTACTTAGTTAATTATCGGCAAAATACCCAAATCCATCCCCAAAGTATAGTGGCAGGGACGGATTCACCTTCGAACAAAAAACGAAGACAAATTCACCCACAAAGTTTTTGACTTAGACAAATTACCCCAAATTTAACGTGTGACGTCATTTGACATCAACAATTCGTTAATTCGTTAACGGATTGCTGACGTCAGATGACGCCAAATTAACAGATTGCTGATGTCAAATAACGTCACACGTTAAATTTGGAGTGATTTGTCCAATTCGAAAACTTTGTGGGTGGATTTGTCCCTGTCTTTTGTTCGAGGGTGGATCCGTCCCTACTACTATACTTTGGGGGTGGATTTGGGTATTTTGCTGTTAATTATCTATGCTATCTCCTTTTCTACCAAAAAAAAAAGCTATTGTGACATTGGGATAATTTTTTTATATTATATATTTTTTTAATTTAGTTAAATATTAATTTTGGTTTTTTAACTTTATAAGTTTTTATATTTTTTTATTTTAAAACTATTTTTTACATTTTTTTAATCTTTCGACTCTAAAAAATCCATAATTTTGGTCCCTCCATTAATTAAGCTATACGTGACACTTAAATAATTCCATATGACATTTTCTTTTAATTTTTTTATGACGTGGCAATAATGTATATTATAATTATATTATATAGATAAATGAAAATGCCATGTAGATAAATATTTATATTTTAATAAAAACAAATAAAATTACGTTATTACCCTCACCCTCCTAATGCCTCTTTTTCTCCTTCTTTCTTTCTTTCCTACATTGGGTCGGTGGAATTATAGTACCTAGATTAGCTGGGTTCCATCAAACCTAGCTGCTAGGTTCAATGGAACCCAAATCAGCTGGGCGTCGATGAACCTAGATTAGTTAGGTTTCAATGAACCCAACTCTGCTGGGTTCTGTCGAAGTCAACCTTGTTGGGTTCATTGAAACTAGTGGTGGCGATTTGCCCTAATTCCCATGAGGCTCCACAAGTATCCCCGCCACGGGGATGGGGCGATAAGGAATATTCCTCCCTACGGGGTGGGGATGAGGGGCATTTTCTCCCCATAAAATTTCGTGGGGAATTTTTTTCTCCCCGTGGGGCCCCGCGAAAATCCTCATCCCCGTAAAAAAAATTAAAAAATATATATATTAATTTCGTTTTAAATGTAATATATTTTTCAAATCCAAATCCAATTCAATAAAATTTAACCCAATTTTTTTCAACCTAACCCAATCCTTTTAATCCTAAGTAACCTTATTCATTTCTCTAGTTCTCACACTACCTCTACCTCTCACTCTCCTCTCGGACTCTCTCTGTCTCTCACCTAGGTCACCTTCTACCTTCCCCTTTGACCCTTCCCTACAAATCTCAAAACTTAAATCCCTCGATTCCCTTCATTGTCGCCCTTCTACCCTTCTCTATATCACATCTCACCTTTCTGCCTCGAACACACTACTACTGTCGAACCGGATCCATCTATAGTTTGGACTACTACTGCTACTGAACCAAATCCGTCTGGAGTCTGGATTGTTGCTGCGCCCATGTTGCGGCTACACCACTACTATTGCTGCTGCTCAAAGTCGAAGTTGAAGTCGATCTGTGGACTGCTGAACTACCTCTGCGACTGTTGCTGAGCTGTTGAACTATCTCTATTGTTGAACCACTCCACCTACGACTACAAGCTACAGATCCAAACGGTAAGAAGTTTAAATAATTTGTTTATGGGTTGATTTAACATAGAGAAAGTATAGATTTTCTAGAATTTGCTAGATTCATTGATTGCTCATAGCCATTTTTATTAATGAATTGCCTAGTTAATTTCTTTACATATATTGATATACATATAACATAAAAAACTGTGAATGCTTGGCTGTCTATTTAATTTTTAGAGTTTATTGTGAATTTCAGTGAAATTGTGAAAGGGAAGAATTTCCATTAACTAGAGAAAAGTTCAAAGTATATTTTATATTTCAATGTAAAGGCATAATTGTTTTTTTAATTTATTTTAGGTGATAAATGTCTAATACACAAGAACAAAGTGTTGATCGATCATTTCAAGCTTAACCACCAATTCAAACAACTTATGTTTGGAACAGCTTATGTTTGATTAATCTTTATTTATGTTTAGAAAAAGTTTATTGATTTAATTATTTGTGTTAAATTAATCTTTATTTATGTTTGATGTAAAAAATATATATTTAAATATTAATTGGTGGGGAATGGGGATTCTCGCGGGAATCCTCGTTCGCCACGAGAAATGGGGATGGGGGGCAAAATCTGCCCCTGTAACAAATCCACGTGGGGATCCCCATCCTACCATTCATGGGGACGGGGACGAACTCCCTGACCCCGTGACGCCCCGTTGACATCCCTAGTTGAAACCCAGCCTTGCTGTGGTTCGTTGAACCCAACCTTGCTGGTCACTGGGTTTGACGAAAGTTGGGTTTCATGTTTTTTCATTCTTCTTTCAATTTCCATTCCTAGTTCTTGATAAATTTGGGAGTTGATTTACAATTTGCTTGCATTTTTGTTGGAATTTGATTCGAATTTGATTGCATTTTTTTTAGAATTTGATTAGAGTTTAATTGCATTCTTGTTGAAATTTGATTAGAGTTTGATTAATATTGTTTATTGAAGGGTTAGTTTGATTTGATGAGATCTACTAGGTTTGATGAATCTAGTGGCTTCAATGAAACCCAGTAGCTAGGTTTGACAACAAAGAGCCTAAATTCTGCTCTAAAGCATTCTAGGGTTCATAGACATATTATCTTTTTTAATTGGTTCTTTGCAGGTAACATGGGACCCATCTGAGGGGTTTTGGTGCATTTGATTTGTGAGAATATGACATAGCATAATGTTTTATTCATATTAGCATCTTTTTAAGTTGTCTTCCCCATGTCATAAAAAAATATAAAAAATGTCACGTGGACAAAGTTAATGACAAAAATTGACAGAATGACCAAAACTATGTAGTTCTTAGAGTCAATGGATCAAAAAACTACAAAAAATAGTTGAGGGACCAAAAAGGTACAAAATTATAAAGTTGAGGAACTAAAATTAGCATTTAACCTTTTAATTTTTATATATTATTAAATAAATATATATTTAATTTCGTTTTAAATTTAATATAATTTTTAAATTCAAATCCAATTCAATAAAATTTAACCGAATTTTTTTCAACCCAACCCAATCGTTTTAAC